GTGATCACACTATCGGAACAGTTAACTTTCTCCACGAGCTCTGTGCCAATCACTTCAAACCACAGTGTCTCCAATAACCTAACTGCCTTCTTTCACGAGGCTCCACCTCTTTTTTTTTTTTTCTTTTTGGAGCTAAGGATAGAACCCAGGGTAGCAAGCGCTCTACCACTGAGCTAAATCCCCAACCCGAGGCTCCACCTCTTAAAGGTTCTACTAGGCTCCAACATGGCCACATTGAAGACTAAGCTTCCAACTCATGAGCACTTGGAGGATACACTCAAACTAAATCTCCACACAGCACTGGCTTCCTGCAAGTCTGACCAAAGCAGGCTGCTTTCTTGTACTGTTATTATTTAGAAGGGCCCTGAATTCTTGTGTAGGATTTATGTCAGAACATTTCTAAATGCATGTGTGTACATGTGTGTGTGTGGCCACAGAGCAACAACAGGTATATTGCTCAATAGCTCTCTCTCTCTACCTTTATCTCAAGGCAGGGTCTCTAACTGGAGCTCTCCAATTCATCTTTAATGGCTGGCTGGCAAATCCCCAAATCATTTGCACAGCGATATTGAAAGGGATTTTCTTTCATTAATGACCATGACTATTGTCTCTTTTCAGCAGAAAGAGGAATCTAGTTTGCTTTCAAATGATGATGGGAGTGGGAGGGGCATCATATCATTTTGGTTTTTTCTCTCTGCTCTTCTGCTTGCGGAATATTTTGGCTTCACTGTGTTTTACACACAATTGTTAAAAGGCTGTTCAAATGGTTCTGGATGTGCTCTAAGCTACTGGTCTCTTCGCCCCAACTTTCATGCGAAGTTTGCTCAAGGAAGGAGCTCTGTGTGTGGGCACACTTGTCCTCGGGGTTTTTGGGAGAAATGCTGGCCCATTTATTATCCTGAGTCATGGCAGGGTAACGTTTGGAAAAGTTATAAAATGTTTCAGTGCCCTCCCTAGGGCAAGGGAGGGGAAGAGAAAGAAATTCAGTGTTCTACACTAGGAATACAAAGACAAAAAAATAGGCCAGTATTGACATTCAATTTGTGGCCAACTCATAGGCCCAAGAGGTAAGAAATTTTGAGAGAGGGGCATCATGCAAAATATTTAGGTTCGCCATCCAAACCTAGGGTCTTGTGCTCAGTGTTCTCAGTAAGCTTTATACCCAAACTTAGACATCTCAGGATGATGAACAGCATTTGGTCAGATAGAGACTCAGTGTTTTTCTGAGAGAGACTAAAAACATCCTTCCAGTTTCTTCAGTGACTTGATTGTACAGTAGGGACACACATAGACATGTACACACAACTGAAACTCACTTCACTGAGTAATGTTGACTTCATGTATAGCAAACCCACTCTCCAGTTTATTCTATTCCCTCTTTCTTTTAAACAATGAGCGAGATGACCCATTAAATCAAGGGTCACAACCCATGAATGGCTCTTCCTCCTCAGTTTGCAAATACTAATTTAAATGTTTTCTCAAACTGTAATTTTCATTTGACTTTCTGATAATCTTCCTTTTAAGTACCACACAAGAGCTGACAGGCAAGTCCTCAGTCAGCATAGGTGAAGAAAAGAGCAAAGGAGGGAAATTGATATTTACAATGCACCCAAGTTGCAGGGTCAGTCAAATTTCATTACCTGTCATAAATTCCTCTTGCAGGTAATCCAATGCAACTGTTTCTCTCTCCCCTCGGATTTATTTGTTCATTCATTCAGTGATCACATACCACTTTGAACTAACTAATCCTTTGTACTGTCCTGGGCCTTGAGGATACAGTAGTGAAAAAGACAAAGTCACTGGCATGGAGCTTGTGTTCCATTAAAGTCAAGGTTGTTTCCAACTGTGGTGGTCACAGCAAGACCAATGCAAGGAATGGTTCAGGGTCAGAAGACACTGTCTTGGAGTCAGGAGTCACTGGCCAGCAAATTAAGAATGATTTTCCTGGGGAAGAAAAAAAAGCACCAGCCCATGGTCCCATAAACATGGATCAGTGATAGTATATCATCATCCTTGTGGACCTCTATCATAAATAGCTCTGTGAGATACATGTCTTTCATGCCATAACACGTCAAGGCTGCATCATGGTAAATGTCAGAATCGTGAATGGACTCAGGTCTATTTCTAGTTCTCATCCATCTGGGCACTGTCAACTGTCCCATGCTGCTTGGAGAGCTAGACTCTTGGATTAATCTAGTAGTATTCAAAATATTTAGAATTCAGTATGGGCACATTATGCATCTGTCTGATCTGTCTATCTAATTTATCATCTATATCTATCTATCTATCATCTATCTATCTATCATCTATCTATCTATCTCTCTGTCTATCATCTATCTACCTATCTATCTGTATATATAGATATGTGTTTATTTGTTTATGAAAATATAAATACAAATACTTATAAATCTTTCAATTTATCTGATCCAATTAATGTAATATATAGTGCAGAACACTCACCAAAATATTCCAGCAATCACCAAGCCATTTGTTGAATCTTAGAAATTATGGGTATGCAGAGAATAACAGATGACGGACTGTTCAGCCTTAAATGGGACATCTGTATCACACCCCCTCTTCCTAAGCTCATGGATTTTTGCAGAAGACAGGATGGAAAGAATTTAAGAGTCAGGGGCAGTGGATGACGACAGGGAACAGTTTCCCAGACACAACAAGGCAGTTGCATATAAGAACATGTGGTGTTTATGACAGTGTGCACAAGATTCCAGGGTGGAGAGGGGAGGTGGGCATGAGTTCAACCCTTAGATAAGGGCATAATGGCAGCTGATGGAAGCTGGGAAAGGGAGGGCTGGTTTTCTTTAAGGGTGTGACCCCTGGTAGGTCGAGTATGCTCCCATGGAAAATTACACATTCAAGAGTGTGTGGACAACACAGTGGGACGTCACGGGTTTAAAGAAAAAAAAGAGAGAGCACAAAACTTGATGACCAGAGAAGGGAGAAGAAGGACCTGGGAAGAGTTAGGGGAAGAGGCAAATACAATGAACACAGATTGTATGAGATTCTCAGAGAGAAGAAACTCTGAGTGTGGTTTTCTACTTAAAGAATGGCCATCACTAGACAGGTGAAACCCTCATTTGAACCACAATTTGACACCAAGTCTTCACAAGTGCCCCTCATTGCAATGACTGGGGTCTATGAGAGGGGGACATTCCTCCTGCCAGTTATGATACTGTTCACAGTACTGAGTCTTTTTATTTTATTTTTAATTTTTTGTTTTCAAGACAGTGTTTCTCTGTGTAGCTTGGTGCCTTTCCTGGAGCTC